CTAACTGCATCCCGACGCCTTATGTACAATTTATAGTTAGGGTGCATGTTTAGGAAAACTCTGTCCACTTTGTCACATTCGGAGAAACCACCTCTCCTTCTAATAAGGGTTAGAAGTGCTACTACGTAGTGTCTGAAAGGCTCACCTTGACCCTGCGTTCTCCTCCTTATCTCATCATCGAGTTGTAGTAAATAACCCGGAGGGAAGTATTGCAACTGAAAATCATTCAAGAAGTCTGTAAATCCAGTCCAGAATTCTTTGTTATTCCTATACCAAAGTAACGCAGAATCTTTGAGTAGTTCAGGGAGAACACGGACCACTTCGTCCCTAGGCACTTCGTAGGATTCGACAAGCTCATGTAGTCTCTCGATAAACGACATCGCATCGGTCTCTTTCCTACCATCAAACCTTAAGTTCCATTTGCGCACAGTATTACAGAGAACTGCAGTCTCTGGCACGTGTGGCTTTTTGGGGAGGAACGAAGGCCTCCCACCCCTACTACTTGGGGCTTCGAACTGCTGCGCATCTATTTGTATACCAGTTACCTTATGTGGAGTGCTTGAGAAAGAACCTTCAGCCTGGCCACCTACTAACGCTGCGAGAGTACGTCGTACTTCTAAAAAGTTCGTGTTAGGCGGGAGTCCCAATATTTCTCGGACGTTTTGCCTTTCAGAATCAAGCTCTATGTTCCCCGTGACCTGCTGTTGCTGCTGGGAGAGCTCTGAGGGCATCTCCGTCCCGACCTTACCTTCCCTAATAGCCTGTACAAGCTCAGCTCTTAACTTATTAGCAGTCCCATCCGCGGGCAGACCACGTTTTCTCAGCTCACCCTCTAGTTGTGACTTGGAAAGATTGTATACCCAACTAACCCGAGTTTCTGTAGCCGTGACACCAGGTAATCCTTGGCCCTTCGACGTCCCACCAGTCTGAGTGGTCTGGGTGTCTTCAGTTACTTTTGGCTTACCTGACTCAGTGTCTTCATTTCCAGGGCTATCTGAGTCCGATACGCTCATGAAAAACAAACTGAACCCCAAAATATGTAAAAATGACCGCCAAAGTCGCAACACCCAAGTATCCATGTCAAAGACTAAAATTTCCTATCTCCAACTCTAAAGTATTTAATATGAAACTAGAATGACTGTAAACTTACAGTCCCTGTTCGGGCGCCATTAATGTGAGGGATTTTTACCCTTACCGATAAATTTTGATTTCGCCAAATTCCACAGATAGTTCAGGGTACGGGTGTCTAACTATCCAGGGGTCTAAAGTTAGCCTAAATCTTGATTTCCTTATATATCTCGAGGTTTAAGCTCAGTCCGCGGCAACAAAGTACGCCTACAATGGACTCATCATCGCCCACCTCGAGATATCGAATTTGGACTTTAACCAAATGGTCTTTCCTATCGAATTCCGCGGTAACTAATGTCAACCGTCACTCTACCGACCTAATTGTAGGTTAAGGTAACTATCCGTTACCTTACCTTGTGTGTCGCGACTTATTCGGTCACGAGCTGGCACTTACCTCGTCCCGTAGTCCAAATCCGCTCGAACACAATTCACTGTGGCAGGGTATAACCCCTCCAATCAGCTAACTCCGCCGCGAGGTATTCCCTCACGGTACAATACCTACCTGCTCGTTGCTGGGGAGGGTATGTCCCCTCCAAGCAGCCGAGCTTCGCCGCGAGGTATTACCTCACGGTACAATACCTACCTGCTCGTTGCTGGGGAGGGTATGTCCCCTCCAAGCAGCCGAGCTTCGCCGCGAGGTATTCCCTCACGGTACAATACCTACCTTCTAAGCCGACCCGTCGAGTGTTCTGCCCAAGTTATAACGCTTGGGTAGAACTAACTATACTAATATGGGGTTGCTTAGTATGCCTAACAACCCCGAGCTTATACTTACCGACACTATCCACCTTGGGCCTAAGACTGGCTTACTACAAGCACGACCTATTAAGTCACGCTTATGGCTATAGTCGCGGTATATTCTACCACGACGGAACTTACCTTGTGAGCTGTCCGACGTCCAACATCAACTGCCACTGCCCCAAATGCACCTGCTTATATAGGACCTTCCAGTGGCAGGGGGTGTAGGGGTGAGGTAGGGGAGGTAAGCTCGGCAGTCCAGTTGTGTTGCTGCTTGACCTTTGTCCTAACAGCTGATAAGCTCGGCCGCTACCTCAATGTTTTACTTCCAACTATACATATATATCTCTCTCTCTCTCTCTAACGCTGACACTATTGTCATTCAGAATATTTAACTATACTTCCATTGTTTATAGTTACGTACTAGAATAACTTTAATAACTCTATTTCTAACTAAACAATTGGGTTGTAGGAATAATTTAAGACAAGAAACAAAATAAAATCTGTATTTTTTCACAAAATAATAATACTTCTTTAAAATAATAACAACTTCTGTACAAAATAATAACAACTTCTGTACAAAATAATAACAACTTCTTTACAGAAAATTAATAAACTGTAAGGGAAAATTAACCCTTACAATTACAATAATTTGTTTTACATTTTTAGGGACTTATGTCCCTACAAACCACTAGTCTATATATTAATTACGTAAGCCGATTCTTTGCGTCAAAATTGTGGGCGACTGGAAAGTCGTAATATGACGGGAGAGGGCTCATATCATGGGGACGTCCCGCATGGAGTCAGAAGGAAATCTTAAATAGAAGCACAGGTTGAATGTACATCAAATTAAAGGTCTTTACTAGCAGAATATAATGCCGCAAATTTGAACTCAAAACGGACAACCGAGCCAAGAATGACAGATGTCAAGGATTCATTTAATTTGCATTGCAATACGCTTACTCCCCTGGGGGCATAGCCCAAGGAATCGGGAAAAAATGTTAGCGTAGGCATAGGTCGATATGCACATCAAATTAAAGGTCTTCACTAGTAGATTACAATGCCGTAGATTCAAGCTCAAAAGAAAGCTTGGGTAAAAAATGGCAGTTGTTCAATGATTCGAAATGGCAGATTCAAGAAATCTTTGAACGGCTGCCATTTTGCGCAGGATCAACCTTTTGAAGTGCGGTTTAGGGCATTGTATTCTACTAAAACAGACCTTTCATTTGATGTGCATATTGACCTATGCTTCCGTTTAAGATTTTCTTCCGACTCCTTGTGGGCCGTCCCCCCGAAGAGTTATTGGATGAATGAATATGTGTTAAAATAAAGTTTTATGCTCTGTAACTTTGTACCAAGTATTGTAGCTATATCTACATTGTTTTTTTTTACAAATATTTAACTGTCTTCGGACTTAATTACCACGCATATCAATTACGTATGGCGATTATTTGCGTCAAAATTGTGGGCTACTGGGATGTCATAGAACGACGGGAGAGGGCTCAAATTAAAGATCTCTATCCCTTGATGGCGGGAAAAATAGCGAACTACCCAAAACCTTAACCAAAATTTAAATATAACGTCAAATGTTCTCCATAAGAATAGCCTGAAGCCCATACACAGCTGATTTGTGTTTACTTTAATAAAGCTGATCGCTCTATTTTTCCAAGTCTGTATTCAATACACGCAGTTGGTTTACCTTTTAGCCAGTTACCTCTGCAATGCACTGTTTACTATATTGAAACCAGGGATAATAAAATCCTATAGTTGGGACTTTTTGAAAACCAAAAACCAAACCAAAGATGTTCGTTTCAACTGTAAATATTGGCTTCGACAACTGGGATATGGAACCCTAAAACCATAAAATATTACTCAACTAGCAAACACGTTGCTCGAAATCGAGCAATTGCAAAGAAGTAAAGTAGTTATTTAAAAACAAATAAAAGTCATCATAATTTCCGATGAGTTTAAAAGACTTTGAAATGAAAAATAACAGCAATTAAAATATACAGCTGATCAAAATGTAAACAATCATGTTCTTCATAAGGATAACATGGGAACTTTAACAGCCACTGGGGCAGAGCCCAAGGGACTTTTTCAAAAATGTAAGGTCAGTTTGCAAATCTACGCTACACGCTCTTTCTAATGAGACGTCAATGGATAAAATCGGTTAAGAAATGGCGGAGGAGTTCAACCGACAAAGTTTCATGTAGCGTATTAATTATATAGATGTGGCCAATAAAACTGTTAATTTTGTGTAGTACTTATTTACTTCCCTAAAGTTTAATAATGATTAAATGGTCGTCTAGTAACGCAGAAAGGACAAACATTGGATTTTATAATCCGTATATGAAAGCGGCTGAAGGGAGCATCTCGGGATGAAGATGATGACGTCATTGTTTCTCGCGACTCGCGTAATCAAATTCGTCTGCTTCTTTCTTTGCTGGCGTGTGATGTACAACCATCGGTGTTCGTGGCGTAGTGGATAGTGTACTACGCTGATGTGCAAGTGGTATCTAGATCGAATCCCGTCGGTCAAAGATTTTGATTATAATGCCATTTCTTCTTAACTGTATGTCTTTTGTTAGAATTTGAGGCATTTATAATTTTATTTTATAAACAGAATTTAACCGTCATTAGATTTTTTCATTATCAGCAAGTTTGGTTGGTTAGAATAGGTCATGACAGTAACTGCCGGTGTGATGACCTCATTGTTTCATCTTGCTTCATCCTGAGAGGCTCCCTTTAGCCGCTCCGATATATAGATAACAACAACTAAAGCAAACAGAGATACTTGTTTACACAAAGATGGTGAACAGGCATATCCACCTTGACAAATAAGTAATTTGATTCTTAGTTTGTTTTGATATTAAAATAAGTTGTTTTATATTTTGAGCTTTTTAGGGACTTATGTCCCTACATGAACCTAGTTAAAATTAATGATATTTAAATAGGAAATAAATCTGACAATTTTAAGGGAATAATTTAGTGGAATTCCAGCCAAGTAGATGGAATTTCGATTAGTCTGCGGGTTTGCTGCGGCGGGGTCATTTTATGATAGTGGTACTTTGCAGTTGCTGTCTCTTACACTTCAATTTAATCAATTATCTACACACAGAACATCATTCACCCACCTGTATCAGAGGGGAAGGGTACTTGGAGGTGTTCTGGAAGTGGACGTTGGTCGAAGTTAAATGACCATGAATTTCAAATTTGGCGATATCGCTTAAAGGTTCTCTGTGTTTTAATAACCTGTAGTGCTGACCACCCACAGCCACCTGACAGAAACACACATAAAAGAATCAGAAACAATCCAAGGACAGCTGGATCAAGTTTCGAACGTCGTAAATTATATGCCTTTTCTCAGGATTGACAATTAACCACTCAGCTGTCCAAATTATAAACTAAAGGCTACAGCATTATAAATACTTTCGATTCCCCAAGAATTATGTGGAAACTAATAAACTTCGCTAGGTACCCAGTTAATAAAGTTTTTAACCCATAAAAAGAGTACCTATAGGAATTATAGTATATTATCCTATTATGCATAGTAAGTTGAATAAGCAAACAAACCAGAAGCATGTATTACAAGAGGAGCAAGTATGTTGCGGGGACAACCCATTCATGTAAATATACTATTTCATTTAGTCTAACAGATTACAAAACACGTCCTTCCCATTTTGCTAAATACATATTTTGGAATTAGGCTACCATTTTCACATTTGGAGCAGTAAAAGCTATACATATTACCATACTTAAAATAAAAAATTCCAGCAATACAATCTGCAAAATCAATCTGTAAATTTTCACATTTATTTATTTTTGGGAATGCTTGCTAAATTCATCCAAAACTAACCATAAACCCAGCTTCTGTGATGTAGAATTCGAGGTAGAACGGCTGTCCTTGACGGAACGGAAATTTTTCAGCATCTGATATTTCTTTATTGGTGGAAGTGCCATTAATCATTGTAGTAGAATGTTCTGTGGTGTTATTATAAAACCAAACAGTAAATGAAGAGCCTAGCGGGCCATCGACAGCTTTAATGTCAGTGAGTTTATTGAAGTTCACTTGAAACCTGGAATGACTGGAGGTTAGTTTGTCTAGTGCCTTTTATTCAGACCAATATATCAAATTATTAATTAGGATTCTTTTAATTCAGACTTTTAAATCTTCAATTATATTGCATTACAACAACAGGTTTGTCATAGGTCATACGTCATACGTCATAGGTTTGTCGTAGGGGCTTGTGCGCATGGCGGTCACTGACTTGTATGTATGTATGTGTGAGTGTGTGTGTAAGTATTTTTAAAAATTACTGATTTTTGATCAATGTTTCTGTATCTATGATTTCTGTTTTGTTTTATTGTATAAGCTGATTCTGTTAAAATATTTATATTATATTTTAAAGTACAGGTTAAGTGTAAGAAAGGGCCATGTGGCCCTAACTTTGCCTGTGTAAATAAATGATTTTTCATTTCATTAAACCAGGAACATAAATAAAAAAACTTCAATAACATGCCTACACTTTCTGCATGCAGAAAAGTTATAAAAATTAGGATTTACAATAATATTAATTACGTACCCAATTTGGCCGAAGTTCGCAAGAAAAATCCATTTATAGTTCCCAAACCCAAAATGGGGGATTTTGGGGGAAACTAAAACATTTTAAATGATAAGCCCCATCGAGTGACCCCTCATTTTGAAGGTCATAATAAAAGAAAACTAACAACGCAAACTATAGGTCTCTATCTTAACACAGTAAAATATGGCAGCCAATTGAATGTAAAATTGCAAGTTATTTCCGATTTCTAAAGATTTCAATCAGCTTCCATTTTTTACTGGATTGAGATAGAAACCTCTAGTTTGGGTTGAGTTTTTTTTTACCAGGACCTTCAAAATGAGGGGTCACTCGATGGGGCTCATCTTTAAAACTATTGAGTTTCCCCCAAAATCCCCCATTTTGGGTTGGTAAGTAAGTGGCTATTAGGCTTAAAAAGTACTTCATAACATGCCAAAAAGGTGTGTAGAGTTTAGTTTTATGGAAAGCACTTTGCAACGTGTTTTTTTTTGCTTTCAGGTAATTTGATAAAACGTACGATGCTGATCAAGAAGTTATTTAAATTTTACTTAAAGTAAGCGTGTAATTTGAAAATTAAATTGTATTATACAATATTTTCATACATGCATCAGCACCTAGTACAATTTTTTTTTAAGTAGCCTTGAGTTAGCCTGGCTTTAAAGAAAGGTATTTTTTCAAACCAAGAGGTCCAATGAAATTATGTTTCTGAAACCAAAGGCGGAGGGGTAGCTATTTTATACAACAGATCAGTATCCTCTCCGTCGCGAAGCACGGTTACAGCAGCTAGTTTATAATAAAATTAGTATTTGCGAGTTTTTATTGATCAAGGCAAAAATTTAATATATTTTGATAGAATCTTAAAAAAAACTAGGTGTAATTTTTTCTAATCCAAGATGGCGTCCAAAATGGTCGTTATTTAGGGTTTTCCTATACATCTTTAAAACCACCAACTTTTTGTGTACCATACTAAATTAAGAAATTAAATTTCCTACAAGAAAAGTATATTATTTAACTATTTCTGATCAATCAGGTACAAGATATAATAACTATCTTGTTCTAATACGCCTTCCATAAGAATTACATGTACATGTGTATGTAAAATAAATGTTAAACATGGCAAAGCCTTCCACCTTAAGTGGCCCACACACTGGGGCGCTTGTGCGCGCACATGTGACGCGCGTACAGCTCGACGCACATGCGCCTCAATGTGTGGGTAAATGTGCCCATGCTCACGACACGCATGCGAGGTGCCTGGTGCTTGCCACCGGACCTTCGAGCATCGTCACAAGAGCGCGAGCTTGTTATGATGCGCGCCAGTCTGTGGGAAACCGAGGCACATGTTCGCGAACTAGCAGTACAAACCATAGCTGCATATACTGAAAATCGGGAACTACAAGGTCTGCGCCTGCGTGGCACAGTGTAGTGTGTAAAACATTCACTGCCCCACGTGTTAACTTAATACTTTCTGTTATTAGTTTTATATAGTATTAGTAAATTGACAAGAGTTATCGTGTAAAGCAGTATATACTGAGGAACGCTTATTAAATAAAGGCATTTTTTATTTGATTTGATTTGTTGTATTTTATTTGTCTTTGTTGTTTGGTTATTGCAGTACCGGTATTGACTTCTTTGTTGTGCGGTTAAGATGTCCTTTAATCACATAAGAAAGTTTTGGTCTGAGTTTATTGGGCTTTATAGATCACGAACGTGTTCTTGGGACGTGAAAAGTGTAAACTTTTTAAACAAATAAATGAGAAAACAAATTAAGGAGCTATTGATAGCAAAATGCAAGGAAGTGTTTCCTGACAGTGATGATAAGTTTGCGAAGACTGAAATTAACTCTTTGAGAGCTTAATATCAATGTGAACCAAATAAACTGATTAAATCTAACCCTTATACTCTAAATACGACCCTTATACACTTATATTAAACAATACAACCCTCATGTACTTAATACCTTATTTCCCAAAAACCATAATACGTACAACTAATAACTACCCAAATAATTGTAGTGTATAATCACATGTTTTTTTTATTTTTTAAGGAAAATTTGGTTCTTTTGTGACTTTGCTTGCAACTCTAAAGAAATTTCCTTGTTAAAAAATGCAAAATGAAAACAAATAGTAAAAATTAACATGGTGGCGATACAAAGGAGTTTATTAGAATGATTTCAATATAACTGTTGAATTTGCTGTTATAGCCCACTAATTGCATCGTCAAAGACGGTGGTGCGTGCGCATGTGTCTTTAGTGTGTGGTTACCAATTGAATCGCACATGTGCCTTGAGCCGCTCGCAGTCACCTCACCACGAGCCACGCAAGGCACATGCGCGCTAGTGTGTGGGCCACTTAAGGTCAATGTAATTAATATTCTTAAAATCTTGACAAAACGTCAAGCAATTCGACGCATAAGAATTGGTCCAAAACAAAGGGGAGGATGAGAACACAAAAAAGTTTTAGTTTAAGAAACTACTAGTGTCCCTGTTGCTCGAATTCGAGCAATCGATAAGTATTACAGGCGTTTTTTTTTAAATCGAATATCAGTCATAATTTCTGATGACTTTAAAAGATTTGACTCAAAGAATATGGAAATACTCAAAATGTGCATACCAGATCGATATAATCAACATTTCTCGTAAATATCTTTTCATTTTTCAAAAGCTGATCTTGTTTTTTAGTGTTTTCTACAAATAGCCTTAAGTGGCCCACACACTGGGGCGCTTGTGCGCGCACATGTGACGTGCGAACAGCTCTAAGCGCATGCGCCTCATTGTGTGGGTAAATGTGCCCATGCTCTGTGAGCAAATTTTTTAAAACTTGAAATGGGTGGGCGACCCTCCCCAAACTCATTTCATTAAAGTCTTTACAAATTTATATTCTTGTGATATCCCTTACCGTTTTCAACATATAAGCAATTTTAAGTTTTGTTCTAAAATGTACCAAATTAGTTTTAAAATAGTTTCCCAGATTTTCAGTAATGGTATTGTTTTGTGGGCTATGTTATTGCTGCGAGTTGGGACTCTTTTCTCAATTGGCAAATATGTTTTTGTTTGACTATACTAATTTGGGAAATAATATATGACTAGTGTACCTGTTGCTCGAATTCGAGCAATTGCGAAGCATTACAGGCAACTCAAAGATTATGGAAATACTCACGATCTACACAACAGTTAGATATAATAAAAATCTTTTGTAAATATCTTATCTTTTTCCAAAAAGCTGATCTTGTTTTTTTTGCGTTTTTAGTGTGAAAAAACATTATTTCTATTTCTTCTACTTGGTTGTGTTCTATGACTTTTTCTATGTTTCCATTGTTTGCAAATCGGTTATTTCAATGATTGCTCAAGAAATGTAGCACAGTGTTAATTCAGTTTTATTTTTAGCCTATATCAAATTGTCCAGGATTTCTCGCTCTTTTCCATTGTAATAATTACACCAACCCAAGTTTCATCTACAGATGCAATATGCCAAAGAATATCACCTACGTACAATCTCCAAGAAGTGGTAAAAAAGGCAGAAACCAACCCATACAATAGATATAAGTTAACTCCATAAGAAATCATTTTAAAAGTAACTGTGATATTAGGATTGTCCACTGATTTGGTAATAGAACATTATATTGCAAAACATGACACGATGCAGAAGAAAATCAATTTTAAAATCAGAAAAATCCATTGCAAATACTGTACTTCAGTTTGAAAAATTCAATAAATCATAATTTAAATATTAACAGCTGTTACATTAAAAAAAGTAGTGTAGAATTATGCATATGGTCGTAATGTAAACAAAATCTGAAGAGACAACTTTAAAGGCTTCTGGGGCAGAGCCCCAATGGAATTTACCTCTTTCCTCTTTTGATGGCTCATCTACAGACCAAGACCTTTCTTTAGAGACCCCTACCAAGTTTCTACGCCCAACCGTTCTCTCAAATTAGCTGTGACAAAACCCCCGTTTTCCTCCATAAGAATAACATGGGATGGGAATTTAAAGGCCACGGGGGCAGAGCCCCAAGGGAATTCACCATGTTTCCCTTTTGATGGCTCATCTACAGACCAAGACCTTTCTTTAGACTTCTCTACCGAGTTTCTACGCCCAGCCGTTCTCTCAAAATAGCTGTGACAAAGAAAAACAGTTTCAAATTAATATATAGATGTTTACATACACTAACATAGGGATATATCCAAGGCTAGTTTTTTTTTTTTTTTTTTTTTTAAGGGAGAGGAGGGAAAATGCTTTTACGCACGCACACAGGTAGCCAGCCTGTAGTGTGAGACTCCTGAATCTATCACAGACTACTCACTAAAAAGCCCCCTCTACTCTGTTGGACACAGACCTGGAATTGTTTGTCACATTACTTCAAGTCAGGCCAACATGTGACCTAAGCCCTCAGGGCTCTCACCGTTTTTGGCATTTAGATACTTTATGACCTACACCGCATCCCGGTCAAGGTCGAGCTTCTTGGCGCGGAGAATACCCTGGATGTAATGTGACACACAGGTCCAATTGTCCTCACCCACCGTCATCATCGGTATGACCGTGTCCATTGATAGCAGTCCTACTAACTGTTGACTCTCCAGGTGGGGCCTTTCCCAACGCTGGCAGTGGAAAAAGGTATGTTCCACGTCATCGGGAATGCTGGGTAGTATATACAATCGGGTGACACGGCTTTGCCCATCCTGAACAGGTACGACCGGGAAAGGCCGTGACCCGTCAGTAATTGGGTGAGGTAGAAGTCCACCTCTCCGCACCGCCAATTAACCCAAGGTTGGACTTTCTGTATCAGTCGCCTGGTCCAGCGTCCTCGAGTCTCCTGTTCCCAGCTCTTCTGCCACAGCTGGTAGGTGCGGGTGCGTTCCTCTGTTCGTGCCTGGTCCTCCCCATGGCGCTGATAAGTTTCCTTTCTCTCCGCCACCAAAAGTTTGACGGGGATGACTATTATTATTATTATTATTCTTTGTCATGAGAGCCGAAGCCCCCTGACTACATACCCGGTACCTATCGTGAGACATACCCGGGCCCCATGATGTAGGCCGAAGCTTACGCATCAACCTTTAGCACATCATGGGCGGATGACTTAATGTCATCAGGCTCACCGGCTGCCGAAGCACACCCTTCGGAAAGAGGGTTGCCCCTCAATCCTAACCAGGGATTCCGGCTACTTGTTTAAGCGTCACTCCACCTGGGTTCCACCAGGTACAAAGCCCTAGAGGACCATAATGGAGCGCCCCGACGCATTTAGTGCAAGCAACACTCGGGACCTATCTAATCCCTGACAGGCAGAACCCGCCATCATAGCCAGAAGGAAGGGGACCGTCAGCACGCTGACGGGGGAACCCCAACCTCCCATTTACACCACTACCCGATCGAGGCCTTTCCCAGTTGCTGGGAAACCAGAGATAACCAGAGCGATAGATCCCCAGATACCCCTGGCGGGCTCGGACCCAGCACCCGATCTACTTCGTTTGCCCGTCAGACCCAACATCACTGCCAGGCCATCAGGGTTTCCCAAAAGGAGGCAGGTATAGAAGTGGGACCCACCCGGATGAACCTATCCACCAGAGGTGGCGACACCCTTGACTCAATTGAGGTTCCGGGAAGAACCCCCCACACTCAAGATAACCATACCGTCCGTGATCAGAGACAGGGATTGGTTTGCATAAGTGCCTACAAACCGTTACCCTCACACTGCGGAAAGTTACGTTTCCCTTGAGTGCCCCCGTGAGCTACGGGTACTTGCCCGTTTTCACCTCCAGGAAAGGCTACTTCCAAAGTCGAGGATTTGCCACACTGAATGCTGGTCGCACACAACAAGCAGGCCGAAACCCAAAGAACCACAGACACAGGTAGGTTAGAGATTATGATGCACTTCCATCTCTCCTAGAGCTAAACACCCCTCCATCCTGGATGAAGGAATGTCACTGGGACCCAATGCCCAGTCGTCCATGTCTGTGGCCTACTTGAAATGCCGATACCAACACCAAGCAGTTACCTCCCCTTTTGGGGGCTGGGTTTTTCACCTCCCAGGACGAGGCTACTTCCAAAGTCGAGGATATGCCTCACAAAATGTCAGTCGAACACAACAGGTAGGACGAGCCCGAAGAACTCAAGTCACAACCACAGTTACAGGTAGGTGAGGAGAGGCGGAATTAACGGCGTCACTGAGAGCTAAACACCCCCCCCCCACCCTGAATGGAGGGAGTGTCACTGGAGGCTCCCCCTAAGGGCCTGGCGCTTACCAGACGTCCATAACTGTGGCCTACCTGAAGTGCCGGGTCAAACACCGGGCAATTACCTCCCCTCTGGGAGAGCTAGGGTCCGCGTGGTCGCTAGGCCACGTACCCACGCAAGCATGGGCCCCCTGCGGGTTTGACGGGGATGACTCCAGCAACCACCAGGACGGCGGGTTCGGGCACTGTTCGGTAGGCGGATGCAACTCTTAGTGCTGCCTAACGCTGCACTCGGGCGAGCCGCATCCGATATACCTCCTTATTGAGTGTCTGCCGACGCCTCAGCACCGTACAAGAGTACGGACTGGACAGAAGACATCAGCCTTCTACGGCTGGACCGAGGCCCTCCGACATTGGCCATCAACCGGCTAAGAGAGGAGACCACCTTAGCGGCCTTGTCCGCCGTACGGAAAATCTGATCCCACCAGCTAAGCTTGCTGTCCACCATAACCCCAAGGTACTTGGCAGAACGAACGGTCTGGACTTCGACGGCCCCTACCCTCAACGGCACGATGGTGTCAATCCGTTTTCTTTGTTAATATCACGATCTCAGTTTTTTTTCAAAGCAAGCGAGAGACCGTGGTCTGTCATCCATGCGTTTATGGTACGCATAACTCGGTTCAGCTTTAGCTGAGCCGGAGTTTGACAGTAGTATAGTACATTTGTAAAGAAATCTATAGGCAGTGGGCCGAATTTAAAAAAAAGTGGCTAAAAAAGCCCACTATGTTATTCTTATGGGAAAAGTTGCCGAAAGTGGCTCCGTATTTACATAATTCCCCTATTTTAGGTCACTCTATTTAACGTGTGGCTGTTAAACGTTTTCTTTGCGTTTTATAATTATAAAATGCTGTAGGCCTACTGTAGTTTGTTTTGCAGGTATGGTTTGCGCAAAACTTTGAAATATAATAATAATAATAATAATAATAATAATTCTTTATTGCTTTCAGACAATATTTACATTGTATAGCAAAGATTGAATACAATACATACGACAATATATATGATGACTAAGGTGAAACTTGGGTGATTTATTTATAGCATTGAATGCATTGTGCACTTGCATAATTCTACGTAATTTGTCTTGATTCTCGACCCGTGATCCACCTTTCATCTTGCGGAAACACCTTAAATTTTCATTAGTGGTTGACTTAGGATATTTAATGACTCAATACTACCGGACGGGTAGGACTGAAGAGCGCAAGGTACCTTCGGGCTCCTCGGTCCTACCCCGACGAATTCTTTGGTCAAGGGGTTGACAGTTTTATGTCTTGCGCACCTCTGTCTGTTTCCCTTCCTAGCCTACTTGTATTTGCATTTGCATCAATAATTATCAGACAAGTGACAAAAAGCCACCTGGGTCCAGAATCGACCTCGCTAAGATAAAACAAGTGACATTCAGATTTGAAGGCGAACACTATAACTACTCAGCTACTAAGACAATAAAGTCCATCCATAATGATATTCTACCTGTGGGTAAAGTGATCAAGTAATTAAGTACAGTACTTATTATTTATGAATAGAACTTGTGTATAAATAACATACTGAAAAGTAAGAAAGATGATCTTACCATAGAGCATCATCATTTACCACCCCTTCAACTATAATAGAAGACTGTTCATAAAGTTGAGACGTCAGCTTGTATATCACATGTGTTCTCTAAAAACAAATTTTTTAACATTAATGACAAGATTGTTGATAGCATGAAACCCATAAAGTACCTTAGTTACTAACAAGACTACAAGATCGTGCCACTCATCGTACCCTCATCTCCATTCATACTTGGCTTAAAATACCTACTTTGTATTGCTATTTAATAAGAAAGTATTAAAGTAAAGTATTTAAGTACTATTCCATTTTCTATTATTTATTTTCAAGATTACATCACTGAACATGCCAATTAATTGTTGGAGTTTACGAGATCCTACTGTATAGGACAAAAAAGACATAGGCACAACCTTTAAAAATATTTACACTCGCTGCGGGCAATCTACTCTACATGAAACTTTGTCGGTTGAACTCCTCCGCCATTTCTTAGCCGATTTTATCCATTGACGTCTCATTGGAAAGAGCGTGTCGCGTAGATTTGCAAACTGGCCTTACATTCTTTTTTAAAGTCACTTGGGCTCTGCCCCAGTGGCTTGAAAGTTCCCATGTTATCCTAATGAAGAACATAATTGTTTACATTTTGATCAGCTGTATAATTTAATTGCTGTTATTGTTATTTATTTTTCAATTCAATGAAACGCATTGAGTACATTTATTTACTAATTTGAGTTTGTGCAAACATAACCCCTAAGACGGATCGTGTTAGTATAGTTGTGTATTTGTGGATCTTAAATTTGTGTATTTATCGTTGTTTTGTGTCGCTATGACCATGGCGGATCGTGTTAGCATGATTGTAACTTAAATTTGTGCATTTATCGTTGCTTTGTGTAGCTATAATTTGTTCATTTGTTGTTTTTAGCGAATTTCCCATATGGGGAATAAGCTATTACCGTAGTACTCATGGTAAGACCTGGACGCGGGACCGATTTTTTTTTCACTTTGAGGTCCCTAGAGGCCAAAAACACCATCCGTTCAAATTCATATATATATAATACATATATATATATAATATATATATATAATACATATATATATATATATTTATATATGTGTCCGTTAGCGCGATAACTCGAGCAAAAATTATCCGATTTTGATGAAATTTGGTACAAACGTGTAAACCTAAATTTTTTCGAACGAGTTCGCGATCCAGCATAATCGGACCATGGGAACAGGGATTTATGGGGGGTTTTATGGGGTAAAAATATGTTTTTCCCATTTTTACCCTAAAAACAAAAAATTTTGCAATTTCTTTCTAAACCGTTTTGTAGAGCTTAAAAAAAGAAATAATTTAGTGTATTGAAGCGCTGTTGTATGCCTAATGGTCACGGAGAAAATTCAAAAATAGTTTAATTAAAAATTCCCATGTTATTCTTATGGAGAATAAAAATTGTTGTAGTTTACTTGTTTATGGATATATATTAAAAAAAATTTGGCAAATTTATTTATTTCATCCCATACTATTTACGTATGGTCAAAAAACACTTTTTACCTCCCCCGTAGCAGCAAACCTAAGCACTCGTTAAATCTAATGTTATTTAAATAAGGAATAAATATGCCTTATTTATGGAAATATTTGAGTAAAAATGTAATCAGACAAGTTGAAATTCGCTTAGTCTGCAGGTTTGCTGCGCTGGGGGTATTTCTTTTAAATGCCTCCGACGCGACGACAACGAAACATAAACAGGATGCGTAATCGTAGGTGATAACGAACGTAGCTACAGAACAGTAGCGCGTAATAGGCTAACTCATCACGGTCCCCACCTGACCCTGGACAATCTCAACTATTAGGTTACACATCCCGCTGGACTAACACTACCCCAAAACGACTTTTCGTTCTCAATTGGCCCTCTATCAATGACCTGTGTTGCCTGTACAACGAGGCATTTTTAGAAGGAGAAAACCGACCGGATTGCTTTAGGTTTATAAATAACGAAGATAAAAATGATCTGAGTTACACACCGGTAATCTTTTAGTTGACTCTTTTAAACTCATTGTAAATATGACTGTTATTAGTTTTGAAATAACTCCTGTAATACTTTGCAATTGCTCGAATTCAAGCAACATGTACACTAGTAATTAATTATTGTAGTAACTGAGTTCTATATTATTACGTATATAGTACTGCACCCCTATCCCCTCACTAACCGCCTTGGTGGGAGCTCAGCATTCAGCGGATATAGTTCGGCCGCTTAGAAAACTACCTGCGCGCTAATGCTAAACCAATGCTGGAGGAGGTCGCTTTCTAAGCGGCAGAACTATAGTATTGTTATTGTCACCACGTGTAGTGTCGGTTTCGCATTTAACTTTTGTGCAATTTTTTTTTGGATCGGCCATTTTTTATCTTACTGTGTCAGTGATTTTGAACATATAGTGTAGTGTGTGGTTATGGATTAGATTGATTGATATACTAGCTGTTACCCACGTGCTTCACCCCGTTTGACTTTATAAGTTTTAATAAAACTATTGATTGGTTAAGTTAAGCTGAAATAAACAAAACAAAATAAAGTTATACAAACAAATAATCACACCTGATATTAATCTTACTAATATTAAAAATGTGAAAGTTTGTGTGTTTGTTTGTTTGTTTGTGTGTTTGTTTGTGTGTTTGAAGTTCAATCACGCATAAACCACTGGACGGATTGGGCTGAAATTTGGCATGATGATAGCTTACATTCCCGATTAACATATAGGCATATTCTTATCTCAAAAATCCTTTCGGGCTCCGCCCCAGTGGCTCTGTTATTCCCCATGTTAACCTTATGAGTATTCATATTTAAAGGGAATTCAAGAATTTAGTCAGCTGTTTCAAATAAAAAAGTTGGTTCTATGATTTGCAATAGTATTAAAAAGTTATAAGGTTTACCTACAGAGTGCAGCACGTAGATGTACTGACAACACAGAACAGTCATAAGAAAACAGTTTTAGGTGTACATCTGGAATGGTAACATAATAAAATACCCCCGCCGCAGCAAACCTGCCGACTAAGCGAATTTCCATTTGTCTGAATTGATTTTCAGTTAAATATATTTTAATAACATTAGGTTTAACGAGTACCTAGGTTTGCTGCTACAAGGAAACTAATAAAGTGTGTTTTTGAGTAAAATATTGATAGCTTAGTACAAAATAAATAAATTTGCCAAGTTTGATCAAAATATATCCATAAACAAGAAAACTACAACATTTGACAATATTCTCCATAAGAATAACATGGGAATTTTAAATTTACAATTTTTTTAATTTTCTCCGTTACTAATAATCGAACAAAAATACTTTTATATACTAAATTATTTGTTTTTTAAGCTCTTTAAAAAGGTCTAAAGAGAAATCGGGAAATTTTGTGTTTTGAGGGTCAAAAGTGAGAAAAACCAATTTTTACCCCATAAAACCCCCCGTAAAGCCCCGTTCCCATGGTCCGATCGTGCTGGTTTGCGAACTCATTCAAGTTTATCCCGCTTTACACCTTTAAACCAAATTTCATCAAAATCGGACAAAAATTATTTAAGTTATCGCGTTCACGGACGTATATATATATATATATATATAAGTCTATATATATATATATATACATATATAAAAATTTTAACGAATGGTGTTTTTGGCCTCTGGGGACATCAAAATGAAAAAGTAAATCGGTCCCGGGTCTAGGTCTTACCGTGCCACCTACGGTAATAGCTACTTCCCTATAGGGAAATTCGCTAAAATAAACCCCCTCCCCACAGCAAATCTGCAGACCTAGCAAACAGTGACTTAGGTTTGCTGACTTTCATTACCAATAAACAAAAATAAAATATTGATGACAGGTGTTTTGAACCAAACAATAACAAAAAGATGTGAACTTAATAAAGTTTACAATGAGAATTGTCATAGTTTAATTGTTTACAATTATGTTTAAGTTTTTATTTTCATAAGGTGGTGTGTTTGTTTTCTTTCAAACTACTATACATTTTTCAATTGTGATATATTTTCAAACTATGCTTTAGGCAATAAATAATGATATTATCTTACTGTGGTCACTGCCAAGCATCCATATAAGCCACCTCTATTGGTTTATACTATAATACTCTGTTTATTTCTTTTTCTGCTTCATATTGGTTATACCATCGCAGGCGAAGCCGCGGGTACAAGCTAGTAAGGAAATAAATTTAAAAAAACCTACAAATAAGTACAGCTGGGTATTTTGTAACATATGGTGCATGGAACGTTCCCTTTAGAAAGGAATAATGACGATCTTAAAGAGTAATTTATGAAATAATGGATAGTTTTGCGCAGTGTCTCGTCGTGACGAAAATGTTCCAAAATGTTCGAAAATGGGGATTAAAATTCCGGGGTTAAAATTCCGGGGGTAAAAATCCGGCCCGTACACTCTAGGTTTTTTATAATTTGATGTGTTCTGATTACATTTACAACCGTGAAAATATACTTTTAACTAACCCGCCATGTTAAACTTCCCTATCCCAAGCGTGATGTATACAACTTGTTTACTTCTCGAGTGAAGTAAAGTATCAAAAACTCACTCGGCGATGTAATGAAACCCATTTAATTAACATTGAGTGCTCAATTCAAAAAATATACCTCTATGGAGCCAACGACGTTCAACTTAGAAATCAGCTATGTGCTTGAATTAGTCCGGCAGAATTGACCCGAACCTGGTTTTGTCATATTAAGTTTTTTTTATTGTTAATATGTGATATCTAGGGTAAGTAGACCCTAAAACCACCGGGTACTTTTTTGGTACCCTTGGGCAACAGCCGCCATCTTGGAAAATGGCGGGAAACGTAAATTACAGTGTAAGCTTTTACTTAAACCAATGTAATTAAAAAATTATTTAAGATGGAACAATGCATGTTATTTTAAAACGTTTATGGTTAAATTCCCTACACAGAAATACCATATATATATAATTTGTTTCAAGGTCAGTATTACTTTTCAAAGTTTATTATTTATACAACAATAATGACATATTTATTTTTATTTCAATTTTGCGCCTTAATTACTCAATATATGACCATAATATATATTATAAAGTTTGTAGAGCTTCGAATTTGGCATCG